GCCGTTTCGCTCCACTGCACTAAATAAAGTTGTAGTTCTCGCTAAATGCCCAGGACTCAGCTCCTTGTGTTGTGTGAGGCGTGAGTTAGCTAGCATTTTTCAGCGTTGTTAGCTTCCTGCTTCCCCGTTATGCTGCTGTTTAGATAACAAGAGTTCAAACTATTAATCCATTTGTTTGGTTAACAAAACCTTTTCATTTGAATGGACAACCATACATGTCTAACTCAAATTTATAAGTTAACATAATGAAGACTTGTGTGTACGTTTAACAAGACAAAATGATTTTTCCACTTTGTAATCTAACAAGATTTGTTGTTTCGACTCACAATATAATATTCACACCAAGCGTAGTTATTATTTATGATATTTGTACAACTTGACAAATAGAGTTGAAAGAACGTGTTCATTTAAGTTGACGTGACTCGAGTTTTTAAGGCAGCTGTTGAACTTTCGTTTTTAAGTTATTCTGGCCTACAATTTATTACAGTGTATCCTCATTCTGTATTTTATTGATGGCACCTGTTTGAACTTCTTATCGATGTAAATGACCCCTGTCCACACCTTCAAACAGTCAGACTCCACCACGACCAAGACCCGAGAGCTGTCTAAGGACACCAGGGACAACCTGCACAAGAAGAACCAATCTACAAAATGCAAGCAGCTTGGTGAGAGCAGATCAGCCGTTAGAAAGGAGAGATCACTGACCACCTTCCTCCACATGGGAGCCCATGCAAGATCCCACCTTGTGAGGAACAAATGATCTTGAGAACAGTGAGGAAACGGCCCAGAACTACACGGGGGGACTGGTCAACGACCTGAAGAGAGCTGGGACCGCAGTAACAACGGCTATTATTAGTAACATGTTGCATCATAATTGATTTAAATCCTATAGTGTGCCAAAGGCATCCCTGTTCAAGACACCACATATCCATCTCGATGATCACGTGGTCGAATGAGACCCCGTTTGCCGTGTTTGGAGGGAGAGGAAGGCTGAGTTTCATCCCAAGAACACCATACCTACTATAAAGCATGGGGGTGGAAATGTCATGTTTTGGGGCATTAAAGAAGGAAGATGAGGCCATCTATCATGAGTTTTTGGGCAACAACCTCCTTCCATCTGCCAGTGCGGTAACATGAGCACTGACCAACATCTGAGTCGATCCAGGTCCATCTCACTGTAACAAACAGGAAGTCTTCATCCTAGTTTACATGCACATTAGAAAACCGGCCTCTCCAGTAAAGCTGGTTCCCCTCCGGTGTTCTGACCATACGTGCTTCCTCGTGGAATATTCCCACGGCAGCGTGTTACGACGGCTTCGCTGTTGTTTACAGTAAATTCATGTTTCTTACCACCTGAATGTTTTCTTCATAACTGTAATAAAACACCTTATTACACTTGTGATTTTATAGTTCCATGTTATAAAGCTGCTAATACGTATTTTCCATGACCGGACATTATTTTATTTATTTTCAGCAACATTCAACGATATTTCCAGAGATTAAAGGCAAAAACTCACATTGCCACTTTAAACAAATACGTGATTTAGTGGAACTTTCCGTCTTTCACGTTTGAAGTGATGAAAATTACACACCTGAATCGTTTTAAAAGTGGGAGAACTGGCTACGTCAGTGGCTGCCAGATCCACATCTGCCTCCGTGTAATTTTTGTTTTTCCATCTAAACCTTTCTGCTCGTTAGCAGAAGCGTCCGCCGGCTGCATTAGGACCGTGCAGAACCACGTTAACCCTTTCAACTCGTCAGTCTGACAGTCCGATTAGAACAACGATGACCCACATCTGATCAACTATCTCACACTCACAGTTCTTCACCTTTGCTGTTGGTAGAAGTCAAATCAATCAGAAGAAAGAGGCAAAACTTTAGTTTCAGCAGGAAAACGGCATCCCTGCAGATGAGACGTCTGATAGAAGAAGAAAAGATCTCTTCTATAGTGCCGCTCAAGACAAAACTCACGAGGCGCTTCACAAAAACTAAAAATGTTAAGAAAGAGAGAGAGTGAACAGGAAAGGGAAACCAGTGGATCCTGAGGAAGGTGGAATAGGTGGGGAGAGCAGAATAAAGAGAGAGAGGTGAAGAAGGTCATACAAAAGCCAGCTTGAACAAGTGAGTCTTCAGCTGCTTTTTAAAGGAGACCTCTGAGTCCACTGATCTCAGGCTCAGGGGGAGAGAGTTCCAGAGTCTAAAAGCTGCTGATTCGCTGCAGTTAAAACCCTCAGTGAGGGTTATGATTGCATCAGTGATTTTAAAGCTTTTGTGTTTAGTTTCATTCCATTTAAATGATGAATGAGCCGCACTTGTGTACCGCCTCTCAGAGTAAGGACTCCAAAGCGCTTTACACCACAGTGCATCATTCACCCATTCACACACACATTCACACCCTGGTGGTGATGAGCTACGATGTAGCCACAGCTGCCCTGGGGCGCACTGACAGAGACGAGGCTTTAAGAGTCTGTAACTAAAATCTGAAAAAGCACAGTGTGTGCGTGTGTGTGTGTGTGTGTGTGTGTGTGTGTGTGTGTGTGTGTGTGTGTGTGTGTGTGTGTGTGTGTGTGTGTGTTAAGAAGGCAGCATGTTCCCTGAAATTTAAACTTTGCAAACTTTCTGAATCATATTCAGCTTAAATTTTTTGATCTTAGAACGACAGCAATCTTATTCCTAAATCTCCAAACAAACTTTTATGACCAAATCTGTAAAAAGGTTTAAGATCACAGAGACGAGTGTCTCCGGTAAGCCTCGTCCGGGCGGACACGACCACCGGAGGAGGGGATGGAGGTCATGATCAGTCTTATTAAAAGGATGTGAACCCATCAGCTGCTCCAGTGTTTGTCTGCACTCTGTTTATGGTGTATGTGTGTGTGTGTGTGTGTGTGTGTGTGTGTGTGTGTGTGTGTGTAGGTACACTGTAGGTAAGCTGAGCCGAAGAGACGCTGACTGTGTCGAATCGCAGCAGCAGCAGCTCCAGACGCCAGAGACACACCACAAATCCCCCTCCTCCTCTTCTTTCCATCTCTGTTTCTCTCCATCCTTCTCTTCGCTTTGTTTGAGCTCAGATAGACTCCGGCGTGATTTACAGAAAGAAAAGCCCTCAGTGTAGTCCTGGTGATCTCTCTCTCTCTCTGTGCACGCGCACACACCCACACCCAGGACATGCCAGCCCCCTCAGCCCACTTCATACCACCACATCCTGCTCCAACACACACACACACAGCCTCTCAGAGAGGTGACGGCTGTCACACAGCTCAACGTTTCCTCTGAGTCAGCAGCAGCAGGAGGAGGAGGAGGGTGATGGAGAAGCCGAAAAAGGGCCGAGAGGACCGAGGAGGAGGAGGAGGAGAGATATTAAGAGAAAATTAAAATTTGAACTGTGCTGAAAACTGAATGTTCCTCCCATAAAGAGACTCAGCAAATTAGTTCATTTAGAGAGTTGGAGAGCAGAGATGAGACCGACACATGCACTGTAGGCTGAAATCAGAGTGTGATGAAGAGGAGTGCAAACGGAGCGATTTTAGGGAATTAATAAGAAACTGACGGCTTCCGTGTTTGGAAACGGGTCTGAAAGAGAATGTGAGAGGGACATGTTTCATATAAATCATGTTCATGCGCTCAGAAACGAGGAATTAAATCGTTAAACCTTAAAACTAAACACCTTTCTGTTTTTTTTCTAAGTTAAAACTCAAACACAAAAACAAAATTTACACTCACTAACAAATCAGAGGAGCTGCTGCAGGGACAAAAATCCCTTCAGACAAAACAAAACGTTAATATTGACAATTAAAACAAATAGAATATGACTGCAGCCACGCGCGCGCGCGCACGCACGATATGATCAGTGCCTGAAGCCCGAGACGGCGGTGTCACTCCAACACCAACAGCGTTGGCATCTATCTCAACCCGCGCTGCTCTCGCGCGCACACTACACCTGAGCGAGTGCACGAGCGCGCGCACACAGCAGCCCACCCGTTACGAACATGGAAAGTGTCATCGAACCCCGCGGACACGCGGGATGCTCACCTCGTCTGTCCGGAGGAGGAGAGCGGCCGGCATTCATCCATCCATCACCGTTCGACGAGGCGCGCGAGGCCCGCAGAGAAGCGGCCGTAGCCGGGGCAGGGTGGTGGAGGTCTCTGTCCTCTAGTGGTCCTCAACCTGTTTCTCTCTCACACACACACCAGGTGTGTGTGTGTGATGCAGCGGATCGCAAGCGTCTCTGAACAGCATGCGGGTCCACAGGGCAGCGCGGCCCGCGGCGGGATGCTCCGGTACCGTCCGACAGCGGAGCAGAACCGAACGGCTCTGAAAGACGGAGAAGAAACGGATGAAAACCTCAGACACAAAAAGCGCACTGATCGGAATAATAATAATAATAACAACAACAACAACAACAACAATAATAATAATAATAATAATAATAATAATAAACTAACCCTGAAACTGCCTTAGAAGCATGGATTGATTCTGGCACTTCAGTGAAAGCATACAAATATACAAAAAAAATATAATAATAATAATAATAATAATAACAATAATAATAATAATTTAGATTTGTGCTCTTCGGCCTGTAAGTAAAACTCTTTATTTAAATCCTAAAGCGTACAACAACAAAACCTTCCTCAACATTTTATTGAAGTAATAAAATAAAATATATGAATAATTAAAATCACATAAATCTCATTACTGGGTCAAGATTGTCGGTCATCCATGTGCTGCTAATCCAGAAAGGTTGTAGGCGACTGGACACCAAACAAGTCCCGCTGCCTTCACTCGAACCTTTTTGGACTAGAAAATAAAATTAATCATTCATGTACAGAATCCAAATATCAATTTTTTTTATTTGTTTCGTTTTAATCAGCTGTTCCGATCAGAAGGCCTAAAATAATTCCTCTTGGATTATTGAAATCACTGTTGGATTAAAATCATTTCTCCTTAATCCTAATTTAGGAATAATCCGGGCCGCGCGCTGGGACACAGACTGCAGGCAGCGACAGGTTGGGACAGAAATTTTATTAAACATTATGAAAACAAGAGTTTCAACAACTTTCCATGTGCAGGTTTCCACTTGCTGACACGCTGATCGGAATAAATATAGAAATGTTATGTACAGATACACATCAGCACTGTGCAGAAGACCCCGCCCCTCCAGATGTTGCTCTCAGACGGCACCAAAATACAAACGAACATCCTTCTAATGTTTTTATTACTGAACTAAACTTGGTTGCACTCGTTTAGTTGACCTGTTTTAATCACGTTTGCATTTATTTGGTGATTCTTGTTCATTGCAATGGTTCCGATCCAAAACTCGCTGTTTATTACTGTTATTGTTATTCTGCAGGTCTGTCCATCCAACAGGTGGAACCGGACGCTTCTGCACAATATTGCACATTTATCTCGGCAGCACGAAACGCACGAGCTCGCTGTTGACAGGAAGATGAAGAACAGTCATCTTCATCACAGGCAAAGTCCATCAAACACCAAACATCCATCTGATGGGTTAAGACTGCGGGCTGCAGGCCCGGAAACAGCGTCAGCAATTCATTAAATTTAAAAAAGAACAAATAAAATAAATGATTAAGTCTTTTAAATCGTCTGATTGGTGCATAGTTTTAGCAGCAGTCGTTTGTCCTTCCAGTCCATCTAATTCACATCAGAACCCAAACGTTAGTCCAGGTGGATCTCAGTGCAGTAAAGGCTTCTGACGTCACACATGTTCAGGTGTGTGTGTGTGTGAGGGGCGCGTACGATAGACGATTTGCATGCTGTAACATACAAACATTTTGAATTAAGACATTTCGAATAATCCAAGCAACAAAATCCTTAAAAAGAGAGAAAACCGCAGGTGTCACATGTGAGTTTCTCCACGTCATATTTACAGGTGGGAATAGACAGTCAGATCTGGCTCAGCTCTTCTCTTTTTGTTCTTTTTTTTTTAAAACAATAGAAGAATTGATTGAAAATAGCAGATAGGGACGCATCCAGAGCAGATTGTTTTCAGTCTTTGCGCCTCTCCGGGGGGCGGAGAGGTGAGGAGGAGGAATTGTTGTGGCTTTTACGCATACCCAGGTCCTACTGGTGACAGGGGATGGAGGGGGAGCAAGAGGAGGAGAACCATGGCTCATGCTTTGACTGGAAGGTACCGTACATGTCCTGCATGCAGGGTGGAGGAGGTGCAGCAGCGGGCCTCCTCCTGTAGAGTTCTGGGAGTTTGTGAGAAGAGGCGGCCTTTCGCTTCAGTCTGTATAAAAACACACATTCTGACTCAACACCCCCCCCCCCCCCCCCCCCCCCCGTAAGACTTCTGAATCCCCCCCCAATTAAGCTTTAATGTTTGTTTTCTGTTCAAAAATAAACTGTAAACAAAGAGGAGGAGGAGTGTTTGGGTCGGAAACCGGACAGGGGCCCAGAGTTCTGCTCCCGTCCCGGGAGTGTCTCACATGAAGAAGTCGTTCTGCTTCCCGGACGGATCCCTCGTGCTCGCCGGCCCGCCGGTGTTGTAGGTCCGGCTCGCCAGCTTCTCGTACTTCTCCTTGTACAGATCCCGCTCCTTGGCGAGGCGCGCCACGTCCTGCTTCAGCTGCTCCACCTGGTTCTGCAGGGTGCACTTCTCCGTCTCCAGCATGTGCCTCTGCTGCACGCGCTTGAAGCGGCAAGGACTGCGCGTAGCCGCGGTTCTTCAGGGTGCGCCTCTTCTGCTTCAGGCGGATCACCTCCTCCTTGCTGAAGCCCCGCAGCTGCCGGTTCAACTCCCGCACCGTCATGCTGACCAGCTGCTCGTCAGAGAAGCGGTCCTCCAGGCGCGCGTGGTGGCCGTGGTGGTGGTGATGGTGGTGGGTGGTGAGCCTGGTGGTGGTGGGCGGTCGAGGCCGTGGACAGGTCCTCCCCGACGTACTGCTGCCCGCGGAAGCCGTCGTAGGCCTCGGTGGTGGTGGTGATGGTGGTGCGCGTTGCCGATCAGGGCCTCCACCGCGTCCTCCGGGGTCAGGTTGAGCGCCTCCGGGTTGATGTGGTGCTGGTAGCTGGGGATCCAGTACAGGTCCTCCAGCTGAGGCTTGCCCCCGTTGTTGTGATTGTTTGGGCCGCTGCTGTTGTTGCTATTGCCGCTGCCGTTCACCCCGTTCGGGAGGCCCTGGTTCGGCTGCGCCCCCGGGCTCGGAGCGCAGAAGCTGGGCGATGAAGGCACGGAGGAACAAGGTGTGCTGAGGGGGGTGGAGGACAGGGAGCCGGACGGGGGAAGGGCAAGGGGTGGCAGAAGCGCTCGGCCTCCAGCGGCTCCTTCTTCACCTCAAACTTCATCAGGTCGAAGTCGTTGACGTACTCGATGGCCAGAGGGCTGTTGGGCAGCTCTGCGCTCATGGCGAGGTCGGTGGCCATGTCAGTCCATGCGACGACTCCTGCCCTCACAGCCAAACCGACGGCGGGCAGCCCTCTCGGAAACAGGTTGCGGAGCTGAATAAAAGCCTGTATGGTGTATATATAGGCACACGCACA